GAGTGAGCGGGCGGGCGAGGGGACTCCGCGGCGCTGCGCGGTGCGGTGCGGAGCGGCGTGGAGCGGGCTGGCGGCTGTGGGCGCAGCGCGGCCTTTCTCAGGTGCGCTAGGATTTAGCAGTCAACGGCAGTGCTCAGCCCGGATAAGTTTGTATTTATTTATTCTTTTTAATTTATTTTAATTTAATTTTACGGGAAGGTGACGTCTACCTCATTGTTAGCTTTCTTTCCCCCTCGCACGTATGCGCTCCCGGCACAGCGAGGGGCTGGCGTTTCGTTTGGGCTGCTCTGACCGGAGCTCCGCTGAAAGACGGGATTGCGGTAGCAAAAACAGAGTTTCATGTCCGGTGCCCGCGTGTGAAGAGGAGCTCATCCCTGGCGTGCGCACTGGGACCAGCCCCAGCCCGGAATAGAGCGGCTGATAGGGCTGCAAGTGACCTGGAGATGGCTTAGGTAGACCAAGTTGGTTGGTTTTTAGGCTATTTTGGTAGACTAACTTTAGGTTGATTTTTTTTTCGCCTGTATTGTGAGACGAGGTTCAGGTGGATATAGGCTACCATTGTAAATGCCAAAATGCAATAGTAATGCATTTTTAAAACCTCACCTTATCTTTTGCCCCTTCGGTTGTTTCTTTTGTCTGGGAAGGGTTGTATGCATGGAGCGTGGTGAGTTCCTCTGAAAGGCTTATCTGGGTATTGAATAAATTCAATGATTTTCATTGTTGTACATTTGCTATATTTATATTTTTATATAATTATCAGTTCCTCATAATCTATTATTATGACTATGAGAACGAGGGATTTGTCTCTTTTTTAATGCGTGAATGAAAGCCATTTGCCTGTTGTCTCTTATCCCCTTTCTTTACCATAATCATTGCACTCAGAGAAATGATATTTTGAGTCTGGAAGAAAAATACCCAGCAGTGTTTAAGCATGAATTTATTATTTTTTATATTCATTAGGTATGTGCATTTTAATGAGAGTGTTACTATTCCAGACATACTATACGTGCTTTCCCTTGCCACGGTATTCATAATAAAACCCTTAATTAAAAAAGAAGAAGAAATTTCTCTTGCTAGTAACAACAACAACAACAAAAAATGCTGTTTGAGAGTCTTGTATAAAGTCAAAGGACATCATAGGAAGTTATTTTTGTGTGACATATCTTTATAGTCATGGATAACAACCCTTTAAATTTGTTAAACTCTTCAGTCTGTCTTTGTACATCAGGTAAGAATGGTATCAATGTTTCAAAGTGTCACTTATTCTGAAAGTGGCTTAGAGCAGTGTAAGATTATGCAATGTAATATACTATTGTTCAGGAGAGAGTTTTATTAAATATCTCCTAATAAGAAAAGTGTCGATTATATTAAAACATAAGAAAGAATGTTAAAAGGCTGTTTTATGTATAGATATTTTCATACCTGTGTGCATGTAAGAAACAGAACAGCTTTTATATGCAGGCATAGCATTTTAATGGTTTTAATGCAGTGACTGTCTTTCACATTTCAAATATATGTTTTTAGATGATTGTAGATTTTCTAAAGGTTATTAGCTTCTTAAATATTTCAAAGTATATTTATTTAAATATTTTCTGAATTCTTAGATGACAAATCACTTTCAGCATTTCCATTAACTATTTGCTTCTTTTTATCTTTAATCCTAAAGATATGTGCAAAATGAAGATGAATTTTCTTTTTGCTAGACTTTCATCCTGAAAGAATAAATGTATTTAAAAACATAAGTACGTTTATTTGAATTTCTTTATTGGTTTAATTTGCTGAGTAATTTCTGGATTATAGTTTTAAACATATAGATAAAACTAGTCAAGATTCACTAGTTTGAGGTCAGAACGAAATTACTTTATGCTGAAGAATATCTTTCTACCTCCAGATGCTTTGCTTTTTATAAAAAAGATCTGGTTATCTACTACTCAATTAACGCATCATTTGAATTTTTGAGTACGACCCCATTTTGTAACTGGTTATATGGGAGTGGACTGCTGTCATGCACTATGTTTTTAGTCATATCTAATTGCTGAAGCTAGATTTAACTAGTTTGTTGAGAAGGTATTTTGAAGATGCAAGGAGATATGCAAGTGCAAGTGTCGTCATGTGGTTTTAATGAGACGCTTGTCCTTTTAATGTTTCACATGGCTGCAATTCCATTAAAGTGAGTTATGAAGAGTTCAATCTTAATACTTAGACCACTTGGAACTTCATATGATTAAGAATGCTATCAGAGGCAGCGTACAATGAAGCTGGTTTTTCTGTATTTCCAAGTAAAGAAAAGGAATAGTGTAGGTGAAACCTCCCAGTCAAGAGAAACTCTTGCTGTTGGTGTCAATGCCATGAGCTTGGGAAAACCCACAACCCATGGGCAGAACCAGAAGCAGCAGTCAGAACTTGTTTCCAATCTAATGCTGTGTATGTGCTGCTGCATATTTCCTGTCATTTTGGCAAAAGAGTGCTCTCAGGATCTTTTCACTGACTTGTGATAAAAATAAGTAAATAAATAAAAGCAGTTTGAGAAATTGCAATTATTAATGTCAAAATAACACGTATTTCCCCCCCCCCTTTTTTTTTTCCCCAGGTTTTGGGTTTCTGCTGTGAAGCTTGCAAGAAAGTAATTTTTCACGTTCCATCTGAACTAGAAGCTGGCACATTAGTTGGCAGAGGTGAGAAACGGCAAGATGCTTGTCTTAATACCACATTTTGCCTTTTCTGGAGACAGACACTTCTTTCTCTTTTTCTCTTTTTCTCTTTTTCTTTTTCTCTTTTTCTTTTTCTCTTTTTCTTTTTCTCTTTTTCTTTTTCCCTTTCCTTTCCTTTCCTTTCCTTTCCTTTCCTTTCCTTTCCTTTCCTTTCCTTTCCTTTCCTTTCCTTTCCTTTCCTTTCCTTTCCTTTCCTTTCCTTTCCTTTCCTTTCCTTTCCTTTCCTTTCCTTTCCTTTCCTTTCCTTTCCTTTCCTTTTCTTTTTTTCCTATATGGAATGCATGGATGAGTGGACAGCCAGTTAAACAGCTGGATCAGTCTTTTTATGGAGGATACGCCCTGTACTTGTTACGGATTTGAACACCGTCTTTGTGCGTCCTTTTGATTTTTGCATAAACAACCACCGTCAGCTTCCAGCATGCATTTTAAAGCTAGAATGACAGAGTCCAGGCTAACGTTTTCAAAGTTTGCAGCCTAGCGATTAGTATTCAGATGAGTGGCTTAATATTCAAAAGTGCACTGAGAACCCACAGAGTCCTATGAAGAAGCCAGTAAGTGATTTGGATAATGGAAAAGGAAAAAAAGAAAACAGAAACCACACAACCGAGGCACCCAGAAACTACTGCCATGTGACTGGTGTGACATAGAGATGTGACTTCTCAGCTGTCCTGAGGCGATGAGCTGCTAGGGCGTCCCGCACGTACCACGGTGCAGGGAGTGCTCCGTCTGCTGGGACTCCCTGCCGCCATTTAGGAGAGTTTGCAGGAGACTGAGAGGAATGGGGAGAGACCAGAAAACTTCTCCCTCCCTCTCCATGTCTTTTTTTTTTTTTTTCCCCTCAGACCATCTTTTGAAAGGCAGTTTTTGAAGGTGTGGCACTGGGGCTGCTAGAGGTCTATCCTGCCTGGGACTCAATTTAAGAGCCAAGAGGTGCTTTATACCAGTCCTGGGACAACAGAAGGGACTGTGGAAAATCTGCAGTCCTAATCCAAACTTCTGCAAAAGGAAGGCAGTAGATTTGTTATTAATCACAAGCTCTCAGAAAACCTGCTTTTTAAAAAGTGCTTTATAAAATCCTTTATAGCTTGAATCATGCACTTTAGCCATTTATTGAGAAAGGCTAATATATTTTGCATTGATACAAGGGCCATAGCTTTGTAGTAAAATAAGTAAGTCAGGATTGTCCCAGTTGCTGTAAAGTTTTATATATTTCTGATTTATATAGCATATATGAAAGACTGAAGAAAAAGATGACATAGAGCTATGGTACTGAACGTAATGCTGATTCATATAGCTATCAAAACTAAAAGCTTTATTCTGGTATTTTTAGAAATGCAGTGCTATAATGATGTGCAGCACTTAGAGACACTTTGAAGTGAAGAGGTGATAACTCCTCTACTCAGTACTAAGTTGTCTTTGTAAAAGTTCACAAAGAAGTCACTGCTTCAGTACTCTAAAAAGTATAAAAAGGAGGACTTAAAAAGAGGCAGGAGAAAATATATATTTTTTAATTGTGCCTCCCATCTGATTTTTATACTTTTAAAACACAATTTAAATTTGTTTTGTCAAAAATATCATCAGCATTTATCAAGTGAAATTTTGAATATAGTCAGGTCTTTGGAAGTTTTACCATTGCCTCTTGTGGTACCCATCCAATATCATATCATTGAAGAATTATTGAAGCATGCTAGTACGTAACAACTTTTTTTTTGATAAAAAATGATATTTGATTTTGTAATACATTAAGGAAAAAAATATATCAGATTTTGAGAACATACTGTGACACCTCTATGTCTTTTGCAAGGATTCTTTATTCAGAGTTTATGTCTCTGACCTTTGTCTTTTTTAGGGTGGCTAATTATTTGGCTTAGAACTGCAGCCCTTTTCCACTTCATCATTGCCTTGATTTTGCCTTTTCTCTGGTCGTAATGCAGAATCTCTCACTGATCTGAATAAAGTGCATAGAGTAAAGTGCATTGATGTTTATTTTAGCCACAAATGATAGGAATCACAGTAAAAACACTTGAGAAGCATGCTGAGTTAGCCTGCATGTCTTGTCAACTGCATGGGATTTTATTGTGTACGTATTAAAATTTTATCAGTCATTTGTTCCAGAGTTGGTCTATATTTCTCCCATCAGTCTGCCTTATAAATTAAAGGTCTTTGTCATCCCAGGACTTCTAAATTACATCAGATCAGTCAGTGCTTTCCTCCTGAGGGCAAAACTTCCAAGAAGTAATCTCTGCATGGGAATTTACATTAATTAATCATCCTCACTGGTTTTGTGGGCCATGGAGACACGTTAAATGTAATATCTCCTGATCCTATAATGCATATGTCTGTGATTTTTTTTCTCTCTTTTTGTTTTAACATTTAAACACATTTTTTCATGACTAATGCTTCGAGAATATCTCCAGGGAAATAGTGTCATTTTCAAAACTGCATGTAAGAGCTGTATTCTTTGAGAAACAGTCTTTATGTACACAACAGTGGAAATGAATGCAATTTTGGTCAAATCTGGGAGCATAAATAAGTTCTAGAATCTACATTTGTGATATATATAAGATGATCAAATTCTTAAAGACTCTGTGTTGGTAAACACCAGTTTACGTTTTAATTAGGGAAATGATTTTCAATTTCTGAGGGTGCTTTCTTAGATTTTTCATCATTTTAATTATTATCTGAATATTTTTCCTACAGTTAATTTGAAAGAATGCCTTCAGTCTGCAGAATCGATCAGTTCCAGTGATCCAGTCTTCAAAATTCTGGAAGATGGCTCTGTGTATACAACATCTACTGTTTCTTTGTCTTCTGAAAAAAAGACTTTTACCATATTACTTGAGGACATTCAAGAACACATAGAAAAGAAAATACATGTTAACTTGGTAGCAGATAAAGAAAAGGTAAGCTTCTAATTTCAAGATACCTTATATATTTGGATACTGACTTACAGAGTATAGTTCATGTTGGAGAGCTCGCTTCAAAGAATTGGGCACAGCATGCTGTTGTAGAATGTACTTTTATTCAGTGATGCTTGATTACTGTGTGGGTTAAGTCATTAGACTTCCTTCTGAAACAGAAGATGCTAGCGAGAAGTTAACCAGGAATGTCAATAATCTTAAAAAAATGTTTGATGTGTGAGGACAGATTTTATTGGCAGTGTTACAGTGAATGAAAAAACTTTCAAAGATCCTGTGATAGATGTAATCAGAAATGAGGATCATGAAAAATTAGCAGTCAGTGGGAAAACTGGAAATGGAAAAAGAAGATGGAAAGAAGTGGAGTATTAATTAAGCAAGAATGTACACAGCTAAGAATGTATAGATTGATTTGTATTTTTTTTTTTTGTATTCTATATCCAGACACAGAAGACAAGGCATACTAGAGATACAGTTCTCAAGCGAACCAAACGAAGGTGGGGTCCTATTCCATCTGTTATGATAGAGAACTCACTTGGACCTTTTCCGCTACAAATCCAGCAGGTAGGTTTTATATTATTTTTATGGCACAAATTATTTTCCTGTGTGATCTGTGTAATAAAATCTAAGTTGCTGCTTATGGATTCAGACGTATGTTTATCAAGAAAATGAAAGCTCTACATTATCACATTAGCAAAGAACTTTGCAAAAGAAATCGAAGGCAGCTGGAAGAACAGCTTGAATTCTCCACTGATGCCATTCCTCCGTTAATACTTCTGTCTCATTCCATACTCTGCACTACCTCTTGTAATCTTGTAGCAGAAATAACATGTTCATGGTAGTCTGGAAGAACTGGAAATGGGCCAGAGCTGTAAAAAGAGAGAAGTGCTGTCAGAAGAAAGAGTTTTTTGGCCTGCAGTTCAATGAAGGGCATAATTCAAAGGCAACAACAACAACAAGAACAAAACAACCCAAAGTATTGTCTAGAAAAACATTTTGTAGACTGGGGGGCTGGGAGTTACTTCTTACCTACATACCCACATCCTTTCTGGATCTTAATATGTAAATCTGTCATATTACAGCTGAGTATGTTCTATATTATTAGGAAATACATTCTATGAAAGCAAATAAGCAGACGTGAAGGAGAAATGCAAGAATTATAGTTATCATAGATGCACCTAGCCTTCACTAGATTACAGAGTGGCTAGTAGAAGTGCGGAGGCAAGTGTAATAACAGAGTCTGAACAGAGTAATCATTCTACTAATCTTATCTTCTGAACTTCTGACAATCAGTAGATAAGGAAAGTATTTGGGAGTAGGGAAGTTTAGAAAAACATAACTGCTGAAACTGTCTCTTCAGTGCTTCTTATGAGATGGAGGAGACGATCTGAATTGGCAAATCGTTGGACTATGAAACTAGTTTGTTTCATTTATCTTTTCCTTTGTTTTACTTTCCTTCACCAGGTTACAAGCCCTATTCTCAGCCATTTGCATTAATGCATTAAAAAAAAACCCAAAAACTTATAAAAAAGAGATAGAAATTATCAGCCATCTGCACTGAATGTGCCTTGATACATACAGCATTCTGAGAGATAAAATTCCAAAATTAAATATATTTTTTCAATGCACATTCTTATTTCTTTAATTGTTCAGTGACACTAAACATTTCTGAGTTTGAAATGGATTAATTTCCTCTTCTCATGCATGCACATTATGAAGGAAAGCAGTCACAAGTTGAGCTGTTCTTCTCTGTGTAGTTTAAGCTTCTAAAGAGGTAGAAGTAAATCATTTTTTTTTAAATGCTCCTGCTTCTAGTAAGTGTGATCATGAAATGGGGAAGAATATATTAGAATGAGGCTGCTCTTTTTCTTTGGACTTAACAGTTAATTCTTTATAGGTCCAATCAGACACTGCTCAGAACTACACCATTTATTATTCTGCAAGTGGGCCAGGAATTGATCAAGATCCGAAGGGTTTGTTTTACATAGAAAAAGAAACTGGAAATATCTTTGCTACTCGTGCAGTAGACCGTGAACAGTATCCAAGTTTTCAGGTACAGACCTAAACTGCATATATGTAATTACTTATGTCTTTTATCTGTCATGCATATGTTCCCAAGTTGGTTTACAATGGAGATGGGGTGCAGACAAGATCTGGAATCAGGTACTTGTGCTGACTGCCTCGGTGTTTTGGTCTCCGGTGTTTTGGTATTGGAGAGATGAAATGAGTGACATTAAAGGAATACCTAGTCACCTAGTTCTTGAGAGTGATTTTGCTTTTCACTGATTAGATTCTAATTCCAACATAACTGGAATGAAATAATGGATTTGTATCACTGTGGGGAAGAATTTGAAGTGATTCCTAAGTTTTTTTCAGCATAAGGATAAAAAACTGCATAAAACCAAAATAGTGATAAATTCCAGACAGCTGTGATTTCCTTGAGGTTCAATTTCTCAAGCTGCTTGGTTTTAGTCTTTAATAAGGTGAACTGCTCTCTCTAGTGGCTGTGAAGTGTAAGAAAGCAGTGAGTGGGAATAAACTGCTGCTTCTAAATATTTGCTTCTGCATAGTTAGGCAGGTAGTTTGAAGTACTTATTGTTGTGTTTTATTAGGTTTTGTTGTAATGGGAACATAGTCTTTCTGTTGTTTGTGCTTTTGTTTTGTGCTTTTGTTCATGCTTGCATTTAAATGTTGCACAGAAAACCTTTCCTAACGCTCAAGTTACTTCATCTACACTAGATAATATTGTGCTTAAGAGACTTGAAAAAGCTGTTTGAGAGGGTTTTTAGGGAAAATGCAGAGCAGCAGGTAAAGGTTTTGGTTTTGCTGTCACTTCCTCTTCTGTTTGGCCAAAGAACCTGTTTCTATACCAATGTGTCTAGCATGTTGCCCCAGTCAAAAAAAATACTGCCAACTTAAAGTGAAGATAGTGAAACAGTGACTCAAAATCTCAGATTTATTAAACAATAAAGTATAAATGCTTGCAGGACCTTCAAAAGGCTTGAGACAGACATAAGCTAGATAAAATCCTAGCGAGTTCTCCTGAGTGTTTAGAAAGATATGCTCATCTCACTGCATTTCATTTTGTTGATTCCTCCACTGAATTAAAAGTGTAATGGTACTTCAGTATGAAGAGCTACTGAATTTCTGTCTTACAGATCATCTGCTTTGCAAGCACTCCTGATGGATATTCACCAGAGGTACCGCTCGTGCATACAATCAGGATAGAGGATGATAATGATAATGCTCCACACTTTACACAGGATGTTTTTGAGTTTTGTGTCCCTGAAAATTCTAAACCTGGTAAGAAGGGTTTTAAATCAGTGAACATGGAAAGTGTTATTCAGTTCAGTTATATGTGGATATGACTAGATATAATTCCAACATTTAACCATTAACAGCAGGATTTCCAAAGGGTTATTTCTTTTCAACAAAGGGTGAATTTTCAAAGAGCGTGATAAGATTTCTTATTCATTAGAAAAATTCAAAAATTCCAACTCAATATTAGCGAAAAATACTATATAAACAGAAGTTTTCAAAAACTGAGATGCCTCAGCATTCTTAAAATAGTGTAAAACTTAAGAATACTTTTATTTTTTTCATTTTATCCAAAATCCCTTGTTCCCATAAAATATTTTGATGTACGTGAAAGCAGCGGCTAACAGATTCATTTCCTAAGCAACTAAATTGGTATTATTCTAAGGAATAAACCACTTTTGATTAAACTTAAAGTGTGTTCAAACTAGTTAAACAAGGTAGGACGTTTTGCTGGGGTGGAAGAAAAGTAACAGCAACACATAAAAGGCTTCCTTCTGCATAGACCTGTAAGAGGAGATTTGCTAGTTACAGACTTCCTGTGTCCATGTAATAGAGGACAAAATAAGGAATAAGAGAATAAGGAATGGAAAAGCCCTGTTTTATCCTTCTCTCTCATCTCTCAGATTAGCGTATAGTGAAGGAGGCCTAGCTTGTTTTCCAAAAAATCAAGTATCTTAACATTTACCACAGAACAGTCACATTTCGTTCTCTGAGCTGTTAGAACTTTTAATGGGTAAGTTATGGTTTTAGGTGAAATTTTGTTCCAAAACTAATCAGATGAAGTATGGTGCAAGTCCCTGAGAGGTAGAATTGTAATTTGAACCACGTCAGAAATCACTGAACACCCTCTCCCACCTCAGTAGCTCCTTCTCAGCTGTGTTTGGGATTTTCAGAAGTCACTGCCAAAAATACTAACTGAAAACTAACCTCTTAATATTCTTTGATTATTCTTTTTATTCATTTGGCAACTGCAATAATTACAGTTTCGTTTGAAGAAGAGGAAAAAAAATGACAAAAGATTAAAATAGATCATTTTATGTGGTTACTGTATTCTCATACACATTTTTTCCAATGCTGTTTTCCTTTAGGAATAACTAGCAGAAAACCATTTTCATGTATATACTCAAAATACTCAAATAACCAAAAAATGTTTGAATATTTTTGGGTAGTTATTAATTTTACCAGAACTTAAATTCTCTGTATTGTGTTCACAGGTGTAGTAGTTGGACAAATGACTGCAGAGGACAGAGATGAACCTTTTACTCTACATACCACATTGAAATACCGCATTGTGTCACAAACTCCACCGGTTACCCCAGTATTTGGTATACATGGTGACACAGGTGTCATTTCTGTGTTATCACCGCAGCTGGATAGAGAGGTGATTCTTATCTGAAGCACTGAGCTGCTGCTTGCAATTCTTTGCTCTGCTGCTCACAGATAATTCCCTAATGCTGAATTCTTGTCATGGGGAATCACCAGATAAAACATTTTGGCTACTCGTTCCTCTGTAAGGAGCTCCTGAAGCTTTCCAGAGGATCCTGTGTTCGGTCCAGAGGGGCTTCCGTGCAG